ATCTCCGAGCAAAGTTAGGGAGGATCACTAAAATACCAACTATTTGAGTCATCCTACTATTCGATTACTGTCATTCTCAATTAGTAGACATATGCATCAAAATATTTACCTCAATCTTAAAAAATGAACTTTTGTAAGAACATAGCCCCCCATTTTTGAAGCAGAAATACTGTGTAATTAAATTTAGCTTTGAGAATTATCCTGTATTTATACAGCAATTTTTCATCACCTAATTGTAATGCATGTTTTGTACGTACTAGGGTGAACGCTTTAGGTTTAGAACAAAGAAATGAAAATACATGACATTTTCAAGAGGAAAGACTCTTTGTGAGAATTTTGGACAATACTGGCGCCAATGACTGCGGAAATTGCCTGCAAACCCGCAAAGCCATTGTTTGACGCAGCGTTACACAAAGTCGTCATCCATTGAAATGATGCCAGTTTTGTGACAAATGGGGAATACTGCCGTCGCAGAAACAAACAAAACAGGCCATTATTTGCTGTTAAGTTTGAATCGAATATTCAAATAGTATTTTCCGAAAAAGTATTTGTAATACTTTTACCGTAAATGTTAGCGGATAGGATCACTTGACGGAATTTACTCATCATTTGAGCTTACTCACAAGAATAGACAATTTAGTCATACATATCATATTGTAAAATAGACGTACATTGCATGGGATTTGTATAAAGTAGAAATGACGAATATGTAACAGTGCTAATGTACACGAAGTCGCGTCACAGACTTCTTTGCAAGCGATACATTTTTTTGGGGTGTTTTAGCTACATATTTGTACATAGAATAATAAATTTGAATAAAAAATGCAATATTTATAGCCGTTGATTTTATGTCGGGCTTGCAATTTTTCAGCTATTTCATCAATCTCAATACTGTCAGATGTGATAGAGACAAATCTAATTACCCGAAACAAATGCATTACGCAGACAAAGCATAGTTAAGAATACGAATTCATTGTCTCACTATAGTCAGGGAATCTCGTATTAAAAATATGAAAACGACATATAGACCCTGTGGGTTTGATGAGTCTGATTCTTTCTCCCATGACTGGTTTGCTTTCTGAATATTTCGTCGGCAAATATTCCTTTCTCCGGATTTTGTTTCACGAGTAGTTTCATTTGATATTCGCTCTCACAGGCATGCTGTCGACAATGCATCAAAATTAAAGTCATTAAAACTGTCACGAAGATATTAGAATGTCCGATGTTCTCTTGATTTGATCTTCATTTACATTCTCATTAATTTATTGTAACCACAATTGCTTTGTTTACAAATTTGTTAAAAAATAATGGGCATCAGTTTCGTTAACAGCTACAAAATAAACTGCCAGAATAAATATTTCAGTTTTTTAGTATATATATATTTTTAGTTGTTTGAAAAAGGGAATCGCCGCTTGTCTGAGAAACTTGGAACCTCTTTGGCAATATTATTTACTGCTTCGGCTATTTTCATTTTCGATCTGTCACTTGGAATACAATGCCATACTGTATTTGAAGCAAACTGCTCGCATAAAATCATTTCAAACAAACTAATTATTGCAGACAACAGACTAAATGTTACCATAAAAAATAAAGTATTAACTTAATGAATTTAAACACGAGAATATCAGTCAGAGACCGAAGACTTATCGATCGAAAATTAGGGGAACCCAAAACAGCGCTCTTACTCCATAGTGACACCCTGTGTCCCATCACTAATTAATTAATAACTCGCTAATTATACGACATAATTCGCCCCAAATCAATAGGCTTCTGGTCCGAGATATGATGAATGCACATGCAAAATCCGGAGCAGATTCAATCTCGTTTTCGTGAGATATTACGTGCATCTAACAGACATACAGACAGCCAAATACCTTATCAACATACTTACCGATTAAAATCGATAAGTAATAACACATCCCCTCTTACTAATTCAATCATTACTCAGAATAATCACTTACAAAATTAGTTAAAGTGTTCTAAGCGTTTGCAAGTACAATTCACGTGTTCGTTTTGTGGTATGGGGGATAATTTTAAATTTTTAATTGAATTCTGGAAGGGATTCGAACCAAAAATGTGACTAAGAACACTTTGAGTTACTGAACCCTTGAAATTGGAAATACTGCTTTCAATCACGTAATGTTTATTATATAAATTGAGAATATGGGTGTTTGATATCACGAAATTGGTGAATTATGTTTAAGAAAAGGGGAATATTTATTTTGTGATCACAGCGAGCGAATAATCACCAGTTGTACGCGAAAGAGTGTAGTCAACACCATATATTTTAGCTAGAGAGAAACTGAACATGCTCTTGAGAGTATTGGTGTATTGACGCTGATGACATCGACTTCAATGACTATATATATATGTGCTGTGAACTACTTCCAAGCTTACATTCGCTGTAACGACAAAAGCAGCTTTTTCCGAAATCTTTTCCGAAGATATAATTACAGAATTTAACTTTTATTTCCATTTTATCAATTATTTTGTCAGTTTAGTGTGGCAATTTGTAATTTTCTTCGTGAATATTAATTCAATTTAAAAAGAAATATCGAAATGCTGAGTTGTTCACCAGTCACCACTTTTGCGGCGTACCTAAAAATCTGTTTACTAGCGACACCTACCGGATAAAGCTAGATCCATAGTCTGAAGATTGACTTGCCGATGATATTCAACTGTAATTGGCCAAATTTTGAATTGTAATTTTTGCAAATTCATATTATATATTTTTATACCAACGATCAAAAACTCAGAATTGCATAAAGAAGGCATAAGGAAGAATATATAATTAGTCTCGCGTTACCCCAGCTTATAGCCACCAATTCGCCAATTTATTTTTTATTTGGCATAAAGTATGAACCACATTTATTAGCTGCATTCAACTAACAAACACAACACGAATAGGAATTTATTCGAAAATGAAGATTCGTTGTGATACTCCTCTGAAAAACCTTGTAGGCCTATATAATTTCACAAAGAGTACAATTCCAAAAGTCGTTCATCCGGCGTATCCTAACTTTAATAAAATTTGATCACAATACTAGAATTAATTCGGTTTCCGCAAACAATAGAAGATCGACCAAAGAACATTTTTACATTCACGAAAACGTAATTCTATATCAGCCAAAACATAATAAAGGTGTAGATACGTATAATAGCGTAAGAATAGTAGACGGACAAGAAGCAATACGTTTCACTAATACGACTACGTTGTATATTGGCATCATCCCGTCAAAAATGATACCAGAAAAATGGCCAATGAAGGCAAGTAATTACAAACGGTTTTGATTCAACAAAAATTATGCAAAAGGTATGAGAGAATAAGAAGAACAAAGCTAGAATTGTATTTATTTTTTAGCATAGCTTCCATGAAAGCAATTCAAATCAGTAGTTTTTCTTATTATATATAGGTTGTTCAATTATTGGTGTATTATATTATTTTAAACCTGGAAATGGAAGTAAAACGGTGCTATCTCAAATAAAATTTGCGATGCCTATACCAGACTGTTAGTTACAATGAGTGTTATTGCTTGACAGATTAGAAATTACTGAGCCCTGTTGCAGCGACAGAGTTCATTTATCTCTGTGTTATATAGTTTTATTACAAACTTTGGTATGATTAAATATTTGTAATTATATTTTTCTAATTCCGTTTCAAGTAGGTATGTAATTCCCTAACATGAAAGAATGTGAAGTAGATATTATTATAACATATTAATTTTTATATAAACCATAATATCATATAGCAATGAGTGGCAAACAGAGAGCTCTTGATATATTAGGCCATATTCAGAATGTCAGTAATATTATTTTACCAAAAGGAAATGCATCAAGTCAATTACTTACTTACTTATTATCTTATATAATTTAGGTTAGTTTGAAATAAAACCGTTTTGAACATACACTGTAACACCATGCTCTTCCACAAATTTATATATAATATATATATATCAAATGTTCAATGATTTAAACCAGTGTCATACTATCATATTTAGATTTTGAAAATAGTGAAACGACGCTTGATGCAAAACTTGTTTATGACTTGTTGGTAGGGTTTTGGTCAAAAATAGAGAGTGTTATCAAAGGCAACTCCTATGCATTCTTCCGTAGTCACTATAGGCTGCCATATCAAACTCAAATTCATTGCCAGACTCCGCTGCTTCCTTGACTTGTTTGAAAGTCTTTGATCCGAAAGGCAACGGTGTTTGGTTTATTTACCAGATGTTGTATAAACAAGTTAAATATTGTTGTATTCGCACAGTTTACTAGACTTTGCGTAAATAAAATCTTTTGAACGCATCGATGGTCGGCAATGCTTCAAATTCAGAAATATATTTACTTTATACAACATAGTCGATCATTGATAATTGATTTTTGTAACGTTATCATGTTAATTAACTGTAAAAGTGTAGTTATATTTCATAAGTTTAACTACAGCGTGATGTTGCTTTACCCACACGCACTTTAATTGTGTCAACACCATCGTAATAAGAGTGTTTCAGTTCATGAATTTACTTTATCATTTTCAATATTGGAATATTTGTGTACTAACTTGATTTGATTGTGGGCTTCATAATGCTTGGTCAACCTTTTCGGTAGTATCTAGATAGCTTGTGATAAGGCAGTAAAAATGTTTTTTTTTGTAAAATATGTCAGAATGATATATACGGTATTTTCAAAAAAAAACATATTTATCACTGGTATAAATATGATCACTGATTTTAAAAGCAAAGTATTAAATAATAAGGACAGCATATAGCTTTTCAGGTCAGTTACAAGGTTGTAACGAAAAATCGTAGCATAGATTGTATCAATCTTATAATGCAACTCCAGGTATGCCTAATATAGGAATATTTTAATGCAAGGTTGATCTGAGCATCGGGGCTTCATATTATCGAGCACCGGCTAGCGTAGCCTGATATATATACTACAAAATGCCGATAGATATAGCTTTTCATCGTATTCGTTTAAACTGTTTTATATCAAATACAGTTTTCCTGATATTATATATGAAGTAGTTATCGAGCACACTGGTGGCGAGTGTACAGTTATTTGTAAATGACCATTTAAATAATTGAATGATTTCAAGGGGATGCAACACAAAAGGTTTAAAAAATCTGCGAACATACCAACCACTGGTGTGTTAATTCGGTACAAACTTTATTCTGTAATAAAATCATTCTGTGTTGACCAAATGCTCCAATTATTGTGATGAACCAGATGGACACCCAAAGCAATTTATATCAAGAAGACGGAGAGAATTCTATGTTGGTGAGTATTCTCGTTATTTTCAAATAGAAAATGCTCAACGACAAGCTGGCTCATATAAAAACGTGTTATTACCAGAGGTTTCAAAAATTACGACTTTTGCCTTTTCACAGGAGCACTTTGTAATTCGCGCCCTCAAAATATGTTCAGTGAAAATTCGGGAAACCCACAAATGAATCCAAATTTTCGCTGCGCTGTAATTTGAAAGTCTGGGTGATAATATTGTCTATTCTAAGAGAAATTAGCAATCTTGTAATTGTTTGTTTGAAAACAACATTGAATGCGTCTACATTCTCATAAATTCCAGGGATCAGAATTCAAAAGGAACAAAATGACAACAAAGGAGGTGACACATGAAAATAGCGATATAGATCTTCGACTTCAAGCACAAGAGCACATGTACCGTCACACACTTACCAGAGAAAAAACAAAAGTTAGTCTGCATGCACTAGAAGAAGTTGGACGTTCAATAACTGCTATATCTCAGCGAAGAAGACAGTATTTCCTAGATTATAAAACTTGTGACAGTATTCGTCAAATCAGGCAATGGTTTGCCTGGGAAACCAAGGTAAGATAACAAATTGTGCTCTCTCCTTACATTTGTATCCTACGGTGGCACTTTAAATAATTATGCTACGTATAGAAATTATCACCATTCTCAACGCAGATTTTACGGTGTGGTGTACAGAAACTGGAAAATAGGGCAACTAACGCTAGGTTCATGTTCGCTAATATCAGTCTTGACGTAACGAAATATGGATGTGACTTCAGAGTTAAGAAGACTTTTTCGGGTACAGAGAGATTCGCCACTTGTTGCCCAGAAAGAAATCTAATATCTGTTAATCCAACGACTAACATACCAGTGATATCATCCTTTTATAAGACGTTTTACCGAGATATTAGAATGTTAACCAACGGCAGAAGTGTAGAACTTCTGTGTTTCGCGTATACGACTTACTGGTTAAATTTCAGTGGAAAATGTTTGTAAATGGCCTCAAGGAAGCCTTACATGACTTGGCTATATAATACCTACTGCGACGCGGGTGTCTAAAAATGTCGTGTCCCACTTGTCTCACGTGTCCAACTTGTCCTACGTGTCCCACTTGTCCAAAGGTTGTGAAAATTGGCGTAGGCTATAGATGAACTATATCTGATTAAATTAAAGTAGTGTAATAACTATTCAAACATTTGATACATGCATTAAGCTATATCGATATCGCTTTTATCGTCGATATCTGTACTGATATCGACACGCCGATATTTCAAAAAGCCGATATTGCCGGTATTTTGATACTGATATTCCGATAATATTTAGCCAAATTATCATCTGGATCGTAAGTAACTGACGGGATAAAATAGTTGTCTGCGAACTATTTTTACTTGGGACGCAAGTGAGACACGTGGGACATTTGGACACGACATTTTCGAGACACCGTGCTGCGACACCAAGAGTGATGCATTTTTCGAAATCCCACTGCGTTATTTGAAGTTTATGTCTAAACTCCCAAGCTGTTAGAATGTTCCAATCCACTTGTGCTTACAATTTTACTCCAATATACTATTTTCATGGTATGGTATCATCATCATAGAGAAATATCGACACAAACCATGCACCGGAAGCAAAACCGGAAAATGCTGCGACAAGAGGATTGAAAACTTTTCTGAACAAGGTCGACTTTTATGGGACGTTGCTTGCGAGATTTGGAGAATATATCATATATTTTCTATTGGAAAATTACGACATCGAACACGATGAAGTCAATAAAACAAAAGACAAAATGTTAGAGCTTCAGGTATGCTACAAAACTAAAACAAAGGAAACGATGGTTATCAAACGTTATATGATGATGAACGCATACGTTTCTAGATTAATCCAATATACCGTATATACCGCCAATTTCATATATTCAGGATTTGTGTGCAAGACTGCTAAGTGATAATAACGAGGTTGTACTGGACAGTCCTAACCATACGGAGGTTGAAAATAAATTTCCCGTGATATCGATTTTGCGACAAGTGCACGACACACTTTGCCAGATGACAGATTTGTCCACAGTATGGAGAATGCATGCCAGGTATGTCGGCGATGGTGTCCTTTGTAGCTTATTCAGTTGCATTAAATCAATTATTTTTTATGAATTTTCTTAATTTTTAATCTGTGTCAATGTTGAGTCATATATACACGTCATTATACATTCATATGGACAATATTATTTAATCACACAATTAGGTTCGCTGGTAAATTCTCGAGTGTTGAGGAACGTCGTTCTCAACTACCATCCGTTCTACAACTCGATGAGAAAAAGGAAACGATTAAGAATTTGGAAAGTCGTATCAGGTAAATGTTCATATTTGTTAATATGAGCTACTGACAAAATACTACTATATGGTAGTTAATTTCTATTCATTACGGCTTCCTCCACCATCAAGCCCGTGCATCTGAAAACACATACCTGGCTAACCAATACCATCCCCGACATAGACTGATAACCGGACGAGAGACCGTGGTTCGCCATATAATTAGGTCGTATTATCGGCTTTCCCAGGAATAAATATGTAAATCCTATCCTAAACAGAAATATTATCCCATTGCTCCCAGCGTAAATCCTATTGAACTAACTTTTTCAATAGATGGCTGTATTATGCTACTTTCGAAGATTCTATAAAACAGTTTGTGAGGAAATATTAGAAATCCATTTCATTTTACCAGAGAGATACAAACGAATAGAAAGTAATTGAGTACTACACGAAAAGTAGCTCAAAACGTAATTGATTTAATTCATACATTTACTTGCAGAATCTCACAATTTTCTGATATTGTTCAATCAATATGCAATAATGTGTTTTTCCTTAAAATACAGAATCAGCAAATACGATATAACTGAAGTAGAACGCGAACTCAGAGAAAGAGAAATTTCATTAGCTTCAACAGAATTTCGGGAAGTTTATAACACATGTACCGACAAGATAGAAGAATTATCCGATGGCGCCGACGAGAAGAAATTAGAGATCAAATCACTGGACACGACAATCAAATAGTAAGGATACAAAAGTTTTATTCTGCCTCAGTATTTTGAAATGAAATATTGATATGTTTATATATATATATGATATCATACCATTTTTATACGTTACATTGGTATGTGGCAAACTTATTAATTAACAAAATAGAAAACATGTTTTCGATCATCATAGGAAAATGACGAATGGAACAAAATAATGCTGTTTTGTTGCGTCATATATTAGTTTTAAAAGAGATAAGTTTTATTTTTAAAAGTACACAACAGATAAAGTTTAAAAACTTTTTTCCAATCATACCCTTTTTTCGAAAACAGTCTTCATGAAAAAACTGATACATACAAGAAGATGGTTCAGCATAAACGCAAAGAAAAGCTTGAGTTCAATATGAGGAAGAGAGAAGAAAAATTGAGGGAACTAAACACTATATTAGCGGAAGTTGCCAGGCTAGAAGTGAGGGTTTTCCTATTTTAACTGTATTGTGAAATTTAGACAATCGCTGCGGCTCATTATAACATATATATGAATGAAATCTTTGTGCAAATATATCGAAAGTGTGAAACTTATTTCTTGATAATAACAGGAACACAAAAAACGACTTGACTTAAAAGAAGAAATGTGGTTACGAGGAGGTTTTGAGCAGGAACTTGGAGTGATACAAGATTTGAAAAACAAGTTGATAAAGTTTCGAAAGGCTGCGTTGGATTTAGAGAAACAGAAAGAGGATGAAAAAGATTCCTATTATAATGCAAGAAAACTGGTAACCTCCATTGAAGATTTTTCTCCATTGCATTCTTTTATATATACTTTATTTCAACATAAAATCTCAAATTACATTACATAGGTGATGCAACTGGATCATGAATTTGAACGACTGAATCGAGAGTACGAATATGTGAAAAGATTGTCGACTACTTTATTGCCAAGCCAGTGGCGAATAAACATTTTCGACCAACTTTCGACAAATGCTGTAAAGCCAAATAGGGTAAGTCTTGCGTTAGTTGTTACTTAATGCTTGTGCCGCTGTTAGTAGTATGACTAACTCTTTGAGTAGAAATCTTTGGATGTATGCCGAGCAAATATACTGAATCTACCTGTACACATGATTGTTAAAAACGACGTGCAGGACATCCCAAAGAGGTAAATTGCGTTACAAATAGTCTGAGACATTGCTATTATTCTGACTGACAAAGCCAAACGTCACCATTATCATTATAATGAGGCTGCCTATCCAATCCATATTGCAATTGACTCAATAATTTAATTCCGCAACAGAAGTGCGTATTTAGTATTTCTAGTCAGTACGTACAAGTGAATCAAAACAATTTTAGCCTCCATGATTATTCCAATCAAATTGTTTTTGCGAATCTTTACAGGTTTCTGCCGATAAAGCTTTAACCGAAGATGCATACCAGATGTCCCAACCGAAGGGGGTAGCAATGATCATCAATAATGATGATGAAAAATACTCACCTGTTTCGCCCAGATCAATTACTCTCGCGCAAGACTTTTCTCCCTTGTCTTCTACCAGACCTGTCGATCAACTTGAAGCAACGTCAGAACGGGCGAATACTGTGGTAAAATGCTTGACGTCTCTTTATGCCCAACTCGGGTTTTACATTATGTCACGTTTCCAATTGAGTAACGATGCCATGCATCGCAATATGGCGGCTATGTCTGATCAGTATCACACATTCGCTTGCAACCTCAATTCGTTATTCGTGCTGGTATCTTCTCAATCCGATGAATATGGTCGATTACTCGGTACGGAAGACACAAAAGCAAGAATTTCGACTACATCTTACTTGAAATATTTCAGTCATTCCGAATGCCCGGCACTGGTGGAAAAGCCGAAGGTCTTTATTTTCATGCTTCGCGTAACTGAGCACGATCCCAGTCCGCCAATAATAGACCAACATACACAAAAGAATAAAAGGAAGACAAACAATCGTTTCTCCTCTTTCAATTCGGAAGATTCGTCTCAAGATTCATTCCAGCCCGAGCCGATTGATGTGTCCGAATACGGCGATGATATACTGTTAGTCCGTATAATGCATCAGCATGGTGGAGGAGCGAAGGCGGCTCCAACGTTCGGAGGAACTGCAACACCAAATCGGGATAAGTTACCCTGGCATGTTCAAGTTTTAATTAGCACGATTATGGAACAGGCAAGTTACAAAGATTTTCTCAGTGTTCTGGAATATGTGAAAGAAGAGGTTGCTATGGCACCCAAAACAAGAATGTCACCGACACAAGCAAAACCAGAGGTAGAGGAAACAGAAGTTGATATATTTATTGATCACTCTCTGAAGAAAAAAATGTATCTGATGCCCGGATTATAATTGTATATGATTCTGCTAATGTGGACAAATTTTTCCTTACCACTCTGTATAGCATAGCTTCTATGTTTAACGTTTAAACTAGATTTATGTGTATATAGCTCTCTATAAAAAGATATATATATATATATATATATACTCGTATAGATTACAGCTAGAGTTTTAGTTTTATCAATAAAACTGTATTTTTTAAAATGTTTTGTCTCTATGTTGATTCTACATCAAAATAAGAGTTACAAAACGAACGACGTTCAAATATACCCAGCTTTCGTTACCCTGTAATATTTGCTTATGTTGAAATATCGCGCGTCGTGAGACACCACCATAAAATGAGGGGCTTGTCGCTGGTGCCTTCTTTCTGAGCTCTCGCTGCCACTTTACCTGTTTCACTATCTTTCGAGTATTTTCCAAGACTGGCTTGTTTCGCGGTATCATGGGGTTCTCTAGTTCAGTGCATGCTCTTCAACCGGGTATACGGTATACCCAAATGTATACCAGACCATGAGTTGGGTATACAACTGATAAAGGGTATACGAAGGAATTATAAAATATTCAAGCGGAAACAACAATGCAAACGTGGCGCACATGAAATATAAAATGCCATTTACGCAAAGAACCGACATGAGCACATTGTTACATCACAAATTTTATAGATAGTGCGGTCACGTGTCTGGGTTGGTCATTTCGGCTGCCATGCACTTCGTTTGATTTACGTTGAACAGTATTCCCGTTGACGTCAAGGCCGTCAGTCAAATTTTTAACTTGCGGACCTTAGCCTATTAGATTGCATGATGATATTGCAGTACGATATGTGCTTAAAATTTAATGTTTATTTAAGCCTTAAATAAACATTGGTATTTGTAAGGTATACAAAAGTCTTGAAATATTGTAAAAGGTATACCGCGATAAAGAAGGTTGAAGAACACTGCAGTGAGTCTAGTTATCGGTTTAACGTTTCACCAGTTCAGATCTTTAGTTTTATTATTTTATTTTGCTGTGTGTACGACAGCAGCCAAGCCGCTTCGGGTGGGTTTATTTCACCGATGTCAGTAATCATCTTGGACGAGGAACAAGAGGAAGTAGCAAACATAAGCATATTAATTATAAGTCGAACCAGAGTTTGAAGGCTCGGCGGTGTGGCGCATCCATGGGGATAATTAAGGAGGCGCAGTTCTCACCACTCCATGGCAGCTCCTGCCACGAACGAAGCGCGGCAGCTCTTGCCATGGTTTTATTCCGCCATTCAGTAATCAGTATTAACGATATATTCACAAATTATTGTACCAGATTTAATTTGATCATGCGGAATTATATCTACTTAAACCCTAACCCCAAATCAACCAAAACTGTATCCATAAGAAAAACGTTCCAACTTACCCAATATTTGTCACCATAAGGGACAGCCCTGTCTTTACGACCCACCTGCCGCGGTAACGGCAGCAAAATTTCACCTGCCATTGGTTTTCAATTTGCTGTCGCGGTAACGGCAGCTCGTCATTGGTTTGCGGCAGCTAAAAAGTCAGTCGCCATAGGTTTGGCCGTAGCGGCCATGGTATGGAAATACCGCCATGATTTTGCGGCAGCTGCAGACGCCACAGAATACTTAAAACTGCACTTGTAATTAGGTGCGAGAGGATTGCTGGTCCCGACGCCGTAGAGTGGTTTTACGTAAGCGCTGGTCGGTTACGGCTTCCCCCACTAATTATGTCTATGCATCTGAAACAATAACAGACTAAATAATCGCATACCCGACATGGACTGGTATCCGGACGAGAAGCCGTGGTTCGCCATAAGCCGTCTTATCGACTTTTGTCTCTCCCGGATCAATATGTAAATTCTACCTCCTACCTGAAATTTATCAAATATTAATAACTAATATGCAAAATGAATATAACGTTACAATAAATGCGGACCTCACAAAAATTAATTTTGGTTCAAAATTAATGCCGCATATAGTATTATACAATTATCTGTTATGTAACAATCATTTATAACACAGATGTACCAAATATTCCTCCTACTTTTCATTAATGATGACGTGACCAACATGTGGCGGCATTCGCGTAACTTTGAAATTACCTATTGTTACATAAATCAGTAAAAAATATAACTCCTAACTAAGAAGTAATATGATAACAGTAGCGGTGCACAACTTGTGGCCTTCGGAGATGAATTGTGCGGTCGCGATTATTTTAGACGCAATCGAAAAATATATACAAGTAGGAAGTAAAAAACTATTTCATTTGTCTGAATAAACTTTGCAAGATTCAATACCATGCGCGAGATAGTGATGATCTTCGGAAAGATAACTCATTCCAAATAACACGCAGAGAAAACCACGCAGCGCTGTTAACAACTTTTTCGGTACTGTGAATATTTCCAGCGAGAGGGAGATATTGACCCTCAGTGGAATGGTCTTGCTTCCGACTGAAGATTAAAACTATTTGAATATATGGCAGTCGTTGTAATTATCCGATTATCATAAAATATTCGACTGTCCCTAGAATTTTTTTGATTTGCTCAATTTTCATCATTTCATAAAATTTTTAGACGCAAGTCAATGAAATATATAGACTATAGAACATAAGAACTTTTCTACAGTGCCTAGTAGATTTTTGGTAAATAAGGAATATGACTCAATAAATGAATGTGATATGAGAATCGTTTTGGCAGGAGCATGGGTAAAGATTTCTAATCGAGTGGTTCAAGAATCTAATAATATATAGATTTCCAAATAATCTTTTCTCTTGTATTAGAAGTGTTAAAAGTAAGGACTAATGAATATAGTCAAGTTGCAAAATTGCGTATGTCCCCAAGTCATAGGCACATTTCTGCGTAAGTCACAGTGTGTCATTATGACGTCACATGTCGACGTCATACAATTTAATTGAAATCCGGCTACGACTAAAATACTGAACCATGGGAAATTATTGACTCTCAATGGCATAAAAATATCATTTTTTTCTGTTTTTTTCAAAACCGTCAAAATTGACTTGCGCAATTTGGTTATTAGCGTGACGATGTGACGCGGCAGCTCTTGCCATGGTTTTATTGCGCCATTCAGTAATCAGTATTAACGATATATTCACAATTAATGTACCAGATTTTATTTGATCATGCGGAATTATATCTACTTAAACCCTAACCCCAAATCCACCAAAACTGTATCCATAAGAAAATCGTTCCAACTTACCCAATATTTGTCACCATAAGAGACAGCCCTGTCTTTACGACCCACCTGCCGCGGTAACGGCAGCAAAATTTTACCTGCCATTGGTTTTCAATTTACTGCCGCGGTAACGGCAGCTCGTCATTGGTTTGCGGCAGCTAAAAAGTCAGTCGCCATAGGTTTGGCCGTAGCGGCCATGGTATGGAAATAACGCCATGGTTTTGCGGCAGCTGCAGACGCCACAGAATACTTAAAACTGCACTTGTAATTAGGTGCGAGAGGATTGCTGGTCCCGACGCCGTAGAGTGGTTTTACGTAAGCGCTGGTCGGTTACGGCTTCCCCCACTAATTATGTCTATGCATCTGAAACAATAACAGACTAAATAATCGCATACCCGACATGGACTGGTATCCGGACGAGAAGCCGTGGTTCGCCATAAGCCGTCTTATCGACTTTTGTCTCTCCCGGATCAATATGTAAATTCTACCTCCTACCTGAAATTTATCAAATATTAATAACTAATATGCAAAATGAATATAACGTTACAATAAATGCGGACCTCACAAAAATTAATTTTGGTTCAAAATTAATGCCGCATATAGTATTATACAATTATCTGTTTTGTAACAATCATTTATAACACAGATGTACCAAATATTCCTCCTACTTTTCATTAATGATGACGTGACCAACATGTGGCGGCATTCGCGTAACTTTGAAATTACCTATTGTTACATAAATCAGTGAAAAATATAACTCCTAACTAAGAAGTAATATGATAACAGTAGCGGTGCACAACTTGTGGCCTTCGGAGATGAATTGTGCGGTCGCGATTATTTTAGACGCTATCGAAAAATATATACAAGTAGGAAGTAAACAACTATTTCATTTGTCTGAATAAACTTTGCAAGATTCAATACCATGCGCGAGATAGTGATGATCTTCGGAAAGATAACTCATTCCAAATAACACGCAGAGAAAACCACGCAGCGCTGTTAACAACTTTTTCGGTACTGTGAATATTTCCAGCGAGAGGGAGATATTGACCCTCAGTGGAATGGTCTTGCTTCCGACTGAAGATTAAAACTATTTGAATATATGGCAGTCGTTGTAATTATCCGATTATCATAAAATATTCGACTGTCCCTAGAATTTTTTTGATTTGCTCAATTTTCATCATTTCATAAAATTTTTAGACGCAAGTCAATGAAATATATAGACTATAGAACATAAGAACTTTTCTACAGTGCCTAGTAGATTTTTGGTAAATAAGGAATATGACTCAATAAATGAATGTGATATGAGAATCGTTTTGGCAGGAGCATGGGTAAAGATTTCTAATCGAGTGGTTCAAGAATCTAATAATATATAGATTTCCAAATAATCTTTTCTCTTGTATTAGAAGTGTTAAAAGTAAGGACTAATGAATATAGTCAAGTTGCAAAATTGCGTATGTCCCCAAGTCATAGGCACATTTCTGCGTAAGTCACAGTGTGTCATTATGACGTCACATGTCGACGTCATACAATTTAATTGAAATCCGGCTACGACTAAAATACTGAACCATGGGAAATTATTGACTCTCAATGGCATAAAAATATCATTTTTTTCTGTTTTTTTCAAAACCGTCAAAATTGACTTGCGCAATTTGGTTATTAGCGTGACGATGTGACGCGGCAGCTCTTGCCATGGTTTTATTGCGCCATTCAGTAATCAGTATTAACGATATATTCACAATTAATGTACCAGATTTTATTTGATCATGCGGAATTATATCTACTTAAACCCTAACCCCAAATCCACCAAAACTGTATCCATAAGAAAATCGTTCCAACTTACCCAATATTTGTCACCATAAGAGACAGCCCTGTCTTTACGACCCACCTGCCGCGGTAACGGCAGCAAAATTTTACCTGCCATTGGTTTTCA